TATATATATATATATATATTCATATTTAATAAATATATATTATATTGTTTTATTTTATTTTTAAATCATAGAAATTAAAAATTATTTTAAATCATGAAATTTATTTTATTTTAGATCATGAAAGTTTTTATCATGGACGAGTATTTGGTGAAATTGATTCTCATGCACAAATGCATATTGATAATGGTATTCTTACAGGCATTATTGCAATCTCTGATGAATCATTTCATATTGAGGTATAGATAGATATAAATAATTGTGTAAATTTCAAGAGAATGCAAATTGTAATTTTTTATTTATTATTTATAATAGCCATCTTGGAGACATTTACCTCATTTAGGAAATGAAACAATGATTATTTATAAATCATCAGATGTTAAATTTAGTTGGGAACATTTTCAACATGGAGAAGGACATACACATAGTGCTCCCAAAACTTGTGGATATATAAAAGAAAAATTAGGTTAATTTTTTATTTTAAATAAAAAATTATACTAGAGATTATAATTCAGATATATAATCAGTAATATATTTTATGTAAAATTTATATTACAGACATTTCAGTAAATAATGAAGGAGGGGAAGATATAGAAGAATCTAATTTTAAATCAAATGAACATTCTAGAATTAAAAGACAAACAGAAACTTATGAATATACTCCAACAAAAACAAGATGTCCTTTATTATTAGTAGCTGATTATCGTTTTTACCAAGAGATGGGTGCTAGCAGTACAAAAACTACAATTAATTATTTGGTATATGATTGCATTATTTGGTATAAAAATCATAATTTATTTCAAATAATAATTTAATCTTTATTTTTTAGATAAGTTTAATTGATAGAGTACATAAAATTTATAATGATACCTTATGGCAAGAACGTCAAGAACAAGATGGTTTTAAGGGAATGGGTTTTGTTATTAAAAAAATTGTAGTTCATAGTGAACCAACTCGCGGAAGAGGTGGTGAAACTCATTATAATATGGTTAGAGAAAAATGGGATGTTCGTACGTTACTTGAGGTAAATTTATTTTTTTGGTACCTTTATTTAAAATACTACAGTCTTGTTATTATTAATTAAATGAAATTGATTAGGTTTTTAGTCGAGAATATAGCCATAAAGATTTTTGTTTAGCTCATTTATTTACTGATCTCAAATTTGAAGGTGGTATTCTAGGATTAGCATATGTTGGATCTCCTCGTAGAAATTCAGTAGGAGGAATTTGTACACCAGGTACATTAATAAAATTTATCTTTAATCATTTATAAATAATTTATTAATTTTATTTCAATATTAATA